GCGCCATTTGTAGTATTTTCTAAAACGCGCTGTTAAGACAGCAGGTAAAAGTTGGTCTGTGTTCTGTCGGAGCTGCCTGCGACGCGCTGATGACATCCAAAAAGATCAAAATCGCGATCCGCGTCTGGCAGTTTCGACAGAATACAGACCACTTCGAATTATTTTATGGCAACTATTGTTTATCCATTTTTCATTCATAAGTAATTAGATATCTGGATTTTTATTATTGCTCCTACTTTTTTCTAGAGTAGAAATTAATGAATGTACATTGCACATTTCTTTTTTTAATGAAATTTGCGTGCGCGAAGCGGTTCAACACGCTTCGTTTAAACCCTCAACAATTCAGACCATTAGAGGCGAAATCATACAGCAACGCCCTCGAAGAAGAGGGGTGCGACAAAACAAAATCAATAAGCAACCCCTTTATCCAGAATCCTCGATCTTTCCTTGTTTCGTTACCCATTTTAATAGTTTTCCAAAACTAAAAACAACTGTGAGCCAATTTTTCGCATTGAACCCAATCAAGTACCTACATATCGAGTTTATAGTTCAATTTAAGGTTGAAGCTAGCCCGTTCCCGCTTTCAACTGTCAACATAAAAAATATAGTAGTAGGCGGGGATAAAATTTACGGTATCAGAGAGTAATTAACGAGTACTTGAAAAACGCTTACGGTTTATACTTTCATAGAGGATCATTGATATAGAAAGGCGAGGTCAGTGGGTCACATCCAGGGCCCAGCTTGCCAGCCCAATCGCAGCCTCTTAACTAGTCACATGACGTCCTGCAGCATCCCTCTCCCTGTACCATACACCGACGAGCTTAAAGCTCTATTGTGCCGACGTCGAGCGTCGTACTTTCGTTCGCCAGTTCGCGCGCCATCCAGCGTCTCGTGGAACATTTTTTTTCGAAATAAAAAACATTCGTCGCGATTATTATGTGACGGAAACGCAAGCAAGTGTCTCTTTTAAACCACAAAAAAAAATGTGATGTCGAAAGCTTCTTTCACACGTTATCGGATTCCGGCCTAAATCATCATCATCATCATCATCAACATCGACGACGCGTACCTGCTCATTATGTGTTAATGATATACAAATGTATACAACGAATTGTTGACGAGATGTCGCTTGCCCATTGACTAAATATTATTGAAAGGTAGATTTTTTTTAACGATGGTCGGAGGCAATAACGAAGTTAAAGTTGCTACGGTGGAGGTGGAGTCTGTAGACAACATGGCGACACTTCCTGTAGCCAGGGCGCACGGTGGCGGAAATGAAGTGGATAAAAACAACGCCGCTAACAAAGAAGCGGAACTGAAAAAAGTTCAGTCCAAACCTGACAAAAGGTACTCGGCACTCAGTTAGCTTTACTATAACTACTAGCTGCTGTTAAGAACAGAAATATTTGGTAATGATTCATATCGTCGTTACACCAACGAGGACAATTTGCTCTGCTCTGAGAGTACTTGAAATCCTTTCTCTTTTCCTATTATTTTCTCCCTGTTCTATGACGCTCTCCTTACTGGCACAATTATTCTCATCCAAGATTCTTTATGAGTAAGTTGAAGAGCATTATCATACGTATAATCTCGAATATGAATAATTATATTATTCTGAAATTCAGAGTATTTGGTATCATAAAAGCACTAAAGGTTTTTGCTCCACGGGGTTGATAATACTATCTACATTGCGCAGTTTATTCTATTGATTTATTGTTGTGGAATAGAAGTTAGATTGTTGCAAGAAAACTGCACGAGCAAAATTAAACGGAAATAATCAAAAAGTAAAATATGAATTTCTTTGCGATACTAATAATGTTACCGCATGTTGTGGGTAGTTGTGGGACCGTAAATTATTACAGATTAATTTTTATTAAGGACGATGTGGGTACATGCTTAAGTAGATGAGACTAACAGTTTTGCTCTCAAATAGTGGTACGTTCAACTATTTTCCATTCTTTCTTTGTATGTACGGTACTCAGCTCCTCTGTTAAATTAAAGTATGAATAAGCAACAAAATAGTCTAAAAATTTATGGAGTATCTTCTGTAAGTGTATACTTAACAGGATAAGAATGGATAGGATATAATTTTTTAGATTAATTAAATGATATATGTATATGAACAAATACAAATACTTTTAGTTTCTGTTTTCCATAACAATGATCTAAAAGACTCCGTTAGATCCTTACGAAAAATGACTCTTTTTCTTCTTCTTTGAAACTTTTAATTCTGGTTGTTCTCGGTGAATCTCAATGAACGGTAAGTCGTAAAAATTCACCTTTTTAAGATACGATCTCTTAAACTTATATTTTTCCTTAAGGACTTCTAAGGTACAATTATACCTATTATAGGTACGTATTGCATATTGGCCAGAAGTCATGACACATCCATGTATGCCTTAACGTATTCAGTACGTATAAATGTTATAATTGTACTTTTGAAGTCCTTAAGGAAGAATGCAACTTTAAAGGACGATATTTCAAAAAGATGAGTTTTGAAGACTCTATTGAAACTCTTGATCTACACACCGAACTACTAGAGTCCAAAGTTTCAAGTAGTTTGGCACAGGGCAATTTTCCGTAAGGATTTTACAGTTCGTTTATATAGAAATTTGCAATTGCTAATATTTGAATTATTTTACCGAATTAGATTAAAAACATGTTGATGGCAGACATGTTCAGTAGTTTACTATTAACAACAGCGACATTAAATCGAATAATACAGAGCTGTTGGCTTTTAATGAATCGACAAACAAAAATAAATCCACATTTTAAGTACTTTTCCAAAAAGACAAGTAATATTACAATATACAACAAAAAATTAAGAAATCTATAATCACTGCTACTAAGTTTATGTAATGTAAAATTAAAAAAAAGTAATATAAAGAAATACAATTGTTGTGAACAGATTAATTTACTTTTACTGGGGTTTAGGGGTTATAAACAATAGGTAACTCTTGGTAAGGCATTATCTTTTCATTACTTTTGTAATGTAAATAAGTTGCATTAACCAGTCTTCATTCTAATAGTACTTTTATGGCTCTTGTATTACAAAAGTAATGTACATTTGTAAATTATTTAAATTAATATTTTCGCAAATTTATTTTATTAGAGGTTATCATTCTGTTGTTCCCTAAATGTTACACAAACATCCTAATAATTAAACGGAAATCAATGTGTAACAAAAGCAACAATGCTTCAAATACTTTGATTGCTGGCCGTGGGTGTGCATTTTGTATACAGTGACTCCATTCGTGCTGACCTATACCCTAATTTTAAATAATATTTATAGAAAATTCGTCAGTCGGGACGAATTCTTGTGATGTGCGTAGTGTGGTGCAGAATACAGATCGCAAAATGTAATTATTCCGATTGTTCCTTTAACTATTTATTTATTTATTTACTTCTACTGGGAATTGTATGCTTCAGTGCATATAATAATAATAATTTGCTTAATGCTGCTTTTGCTTTTATTGTAAAAAAAACTTCGGTATAATCGACTTGTGACAAACGCGAACTATTTTATAACGACTACTTGCTTTTCGTTGTAATATTGAACCGAATACAGTTAAATATAAGTGAACTTGATCTATTTTCTGTATTAGTGTGGTTATTCAAAGTCACAGCAAGATTTTTACGTTTTTTTTCTGTTGTCAGTATGTATTTGCAGAAATAAGAACAAATTAAAACAAAGAGTAACTTTTTCCAGTTTTTATGTTATTTACAACTATGTAGCTTAATGATTATATTGATTCTATAGGAAAATTGATGTTGATCAAGTATTTTAACTATACATATCAAATTACAGTCATCTCTGCTATTACACCAAAGGTAATACTGACGAAGGAACTTGTGACCGCTTTTTCATAAAGCCTTTTGCCAATTAAATAATGTAATTGTTAAAACTTTTGTGGTATTATTAAGTATTCACATCAAATCATACATTTCTGCTGCTTACATTTTTTTAGAAGTAATAAATTCTAAATGTATAGATGCTGTAATATCTTGGGTAATGCTTCTGGGAATTCGGTGATCCTTGAGATAAAATTTTTGGTTTGTAGAACAACACGTGTTTTGCGTTTCATCATCTATCGTCTGGCATTGTCAAAAAAATAAGACACGTGCTGTACGTAATTTGTCATCAAACTTAAAAGAAGAAAAAACGGTTACTTCTACCACTAATCTTTAAGTAATTATCGAAGAGCATTTATAAAAAAAATATCAAAAAGGGAAAATCACACAATATTTAAAAACATTAATTATTAGATTACTAAAGAAATTTCTTCAATTTAATTTTTTGTTACGGGTAGAAATCTAAATGGTTCAGATATTTACAAAATTTTTCTTGACATTCAATTGCAATAAATTACATCACCGATAAGAGGCTAATTTCATAAAGATTGTAAATATACATATATACATACATATATCGATTGCCTAGACACTTCCCATTTTCATTTTATTTTTGTACTTACACATTTTTTCTTTACAGGACTTCTCTGTTCATAATAACCAGCTTTATATACGCCAAACTCTTGATAGTAGTGTGCGTAGCGTACGTTATATCAGATGTAGTGACCCATAGTATCCCCTTGTATTACTACGAAGGGTTTTTCACCTACCTATATGGCATGAGCATCCTTTTCTTGCTGTACGTTTTCTGCTTTCTTTTGCAAGAAAGTACATGCTGTAGCGGCGACAAAAAGGAAAAGGCCATAAAGAAAGCCGCTAAAGAGAAAGCTAAAGAAAAAGAGAAAGAAAAAAAACTAGAAGAAAAAAGAAAGGAGAAAGAGGAAAAAGAAAAGAAGAAGAAAAAGGAAAAGGAGGATAAAAAGAAAGATAAGGATAAGGATAAAGATAAGAAGAAGGATAAGAAACAGGAAAAGGTAAACAAAAATAATGTTGTCGTAACTGCTTTATATGTTGCTCAACGTTTAAAATTAATTAAGGGGGTATATTTACTGCCAAACGTTAATTAAGTTAATTAAGGACCTGATTTTGGTTACTGGATAAGACGTCCGTCCGCCTGAAATACAGTAATATAACCGGCGTATAGGTTCTGTTCCCAGTTGCAATGATCCTTTTTTCCTCCTGAATGTGTTTATTAATATTTTAGTTATTTGATCGAACGATTGGCAGTACGTACACTTCCAGTAATTAATATAGAACTTATTTGTTAAAGATAAATTTTTACATAAAGAGTTCTTTTGGATAGTTTCTTGTTGTGGCATGAAATTTATTAAATAAATAATGTTAATGTTTCGTTAAAAAACATTTTACTGATTAACTGTGGAAAAAATTGCATTCAATTAATTTGCGTTCTCGATATGGAACACAAGAAAATATTGATGCATTTTGAATACAGACAACGTAAAGATTCTGGTGACAGTAGCATGGTATGCTCGAATGTTGTTTATACAAATAAGTTCGTTAATTGTTTATTTAGTTATTATACTTTTACTTACGTATAACACACTAATGTGGACTAAATATTATGACACTTCATTGAGAAAATGATCACGTTATGTTAATGAGCATGCAATTCATAATGAGCGTTGCTTAATTTTTATCACCTGAACCCGGCCACTTTGGTTTAAGTTAATCCCTTGTTTCTTTTGTTTGTTAAATTTTATGTTTTGTTGAGCTTGATGTGCGTGTACAGAGAGAAGTGTTTCCTCGTAAGAAACGGGACTTGGTCTACCAGAGGGCCCAATCCCCCAATAGCCAGGTGAGAACAGGTTCGTTGCACTTTTTTTGCATTGAGTGAAAAAATGCGAATGATTCTCCATTCCATCCCCGTCAACCATAATTAAGAGAAAACTGTTTGGCTAAAGTAATTAGGACCTATTTTACTCTTAATAATTTCTTTACTAGTAATACCTTGACAGCAGAGACTCTTTTAACAAAACTTAAAAATTTCAGTTTGGTTGGTCATTGATCGAAATTATTTGGCGTGCTGGCGATAACTAACAATGAGTTCGAAATTGCAATCTACATCTGGCAGTTTCGATAAACCACAGAAAAAGGCGCAATATCCAGTGAAGTAATGTCAATAACTTAATGGAAGTAAAAAAAGAAAGAAAAAACAATGGTTAAATTTCATCAGTTTAATTTTCAATTGTATTGCTTCGATCAATGCATATAAAAAGCCATAAAAAACATAAAATTTATGTTATTAAGATGAACCATTCATTTCGCGGATTGTCTACATTTCTGCCTTTGAAAGTAGTGTAATTGTACCTAAGGAACTTAACACTTTTAAATGTTTAACCAGATTTCGTTACTTAATTGAAATTTATTAATTAAATTTTAACAACGTTTCGGAATTTTAGTCAATAATATGTAACATCGAAAAAGAACAGCAATATGATTGACAAGAGTTTCATGTTAAACAAAAAATGGTAATACTCTTTGAACTCCTCCTTTAATTTTCTATTTTACATTAGTTAATAGTAGTAGTAGTAGTAGTAGAACTTTCTTTTTCGTAGTATGTTTCGCTGTACCTATTGATTTTCCAAGTCTTTATCCACTAATATTCCTAGAAGATCTACATTTAATCTTATCTTTCAACAAGATAATGGAATTACAAATCAACAATTAAGATAATTATTATTTCATATTTCGGTCAAACATTTTTCTCTTTAATTAAACATTTTTTGATTTTCAATTTCAGTAACATTACTTAACCAAACCTAACAACCGCCTAGAAATAACGCACTTATACTATGCTCATCATACAAACATAAATGCCAATTTAGAGAAAAACATACGCTCCATATTATGTAATTATTTGTCAAAAGAATTTACTTACATAAGATACTAACTTCTTTGATATATATATATTATCAGTATTAAAATCTGTTTTAATTTGCAGTTTGTCTCCATATCAAAAAATTAAATATTCCGGAGTCTATTCTTCATAAGATAATTTGTTATAAAAATTTATATTTCATTGAAAAGGTCAACTTACTCGGAAACAATAAACGGTTCTTCTGAAAGTACCAATTTTTAAACTTTTTCAAATTATTTATTTGTAATGACATGATACTTTAAGGATTTCCACCTTCTACGATAATCCGTTGTTGACGTACGCCGCTGAGGTGCATGCAACCCTTTTAACACACTTTCTCATTCTTTTTTTGTTACTTTCTTCTCTCTTTCTGTTCTATTATTATTTGTCCTTATTCTCATTTGGTTTGCGGGGGTAGAGCACGTATCGTCGCAACTCTGAAGGGGTTGTAGATGCGGGACTGTCCGCAGTGCCGGTCCCTGTGGCCGAGATCGGTGCACTTCAGTCTGACCCCCCTATTCTCCGGCAGGAAAGCAACCAGCAGCAGGTACCCTGCCCGCCACCCAATTCCGCCGTCACTGATGTCGAAGCTGGAACGGTGAACAAAGCTTTGCGGAAACGGAAAACCACCCAAAACGACCAGAGCCACGGAAGCTTCTTTCTTCGTATCGGAGCCATAGGTAGGAAATGTATTAACAGTAATTAAAACATTTAAAACACCACACGAATCTTGAAAAACATATCTACAAAGATTGAGTAGTGGTTCTGGTGGTTTCACGGTTGTAACCTTTTTTTCGAAATGTTTTGCTGTAGTCGAATGAATTGAGACGTTTCTTCTCCCTTGGCTGAATGCATCCTTAGCGATGAGATGGTTGAGTCAAGCCAAAGACTAACGTCTTGATCAGGAGAATTCTATCAACTCATCAACTACAGCAAAATTGCTTTAAAAAAGTTATAACCTGATACAGTTTTCGTAGAATCTATAAAAACTAAAAATCAGAATGAATTCAGACGTTTCTTCTCCCTTGGCTGAATGCATCCTTAGCGATGAGATGGTTGAGTCAAGCCAACGACTAACGTCTCGATCAGGAGAATTCTATNCGCTTTTAAAAATACTATTGTATATTAATAATTTTGATCAGACAGCTACATTTAATTTTTCATCAAATTTCTCACAATCGACATAACCATTAAACTGGACAGTAATTTCCTCGCGGTTTGTAGAAGACTTCACCACATCCAACACGTCTCATGATTTCTTTCATTAGAAGCGCCTTTTCTTTTTCAACTTTCAACAATACAGCCTTATTTTCTGCGACCCGTCTCGCCAGATAAGGCATCACTTCGGTTACAGGACCGTACGGAACATATTTAAACACCCTGTAGCCTGCTTGAGCTAGAGGGAAAGACACATGATCGCACATTCCCAACAACTGACCAATGCTTACTACTTTATCTTCCGGTTTTAACTCCAACGCTTTCATTCTGTCTAAGGAATATCTAATGGAGTCTTCGCTATGAGTGGCAACCATAATTGATATTTTGTGCATTTCATTCAATTCCTTGTGCTCTTTGATTCTTTTTAAACATTTGTCTATCATTCGGTGGTACATTTCTGTTGTAGCTTCGTATGAGGAGTTTGTTGGGTCTGAGTAACCTATTTCTCGGGCACGTGCCCTTTCTTGTTCCAGGTAGGCTCCTCGTACCAGTTTAGCCCCGAAACAGAAGTTTTGTCTTTTGGCCTGTTCCAAATCAGAACACAGTTCATTGTAACCGTCTTTTAAATAAGCTTGATAGGTGGTCCAAATCACCGCTTCATCTTTATTATACAATCTCATGAGTTCGATGGCTATTCGAGATATTGCCGGTTGGAAGTACGTTTGTTCTGCATCGATAGCTACGTATACATTCAATTCGTCTGCAATTTTAGCGATGGTTTTCATTCTGCGGATCATGTTCTTGAATGTTTTCTGTTCGTGTTCGGATAGTTGGGTAATTAGGGGTACCATTTCTCCAGTTTTCAAACAGGGTATAAGGAATGTGTGGTCCAACTGCAGTTCGTCGTTGATGATGCCGGACCACGGAAACAGATGTAGAATTCCTTCTTTGTCAGCGGTGACCTTTTTTAAAAAGTCGTCGACATTAAATTTGGACCCGAAACATTCAAGTTTCTTTTTCAAATCCTCCGGTTTGAGATGATGTCGCAGGACATTGCCTTCTTCTCCAACGAGTTGAGTCATAAATTTCCTGGTTCGCATTATGACTTCTGACAGTTGCAAAAGTAACTGTGGTCTTCCCAAACCAGTTAATTTGATAGCCGCGAAACCTTTTCCGTGGGGATAACCAGCCACAGCTTCGATACATTTAATAAAGCTTACCATGTTTCTCTCGCAATTAGCCTCATTTATGTAGAAGAATGTGTGCGCGCTGGTCACTTTGTATCTTCGATCTGCGAACTTTTTGTTCACGTGGTATTGTTTCAGCGATCCCTCCACGTCAATTTTGTCACCGGCTTCCGGTACCGAAGCAGCTACCTCCCGTTTTTCAGCTTCCTCTTTGCTTATGTCTTCTTCAACTGAATAATCTAAAATTGGATTAACTCCAAAAGAGCGAAGCTGTTGTAGGGTCGGTTGGATTCTGTTCTCGTCTTCCCCAGCTACAAAATGACCATAAAATGTGAGCTTCATGAGCCACTTGAACAATCTATCTCCCAATATATGCCTTGTATTTCTCAGTATATTCTGGTTATTATCCATAATGATATTGTTACCACATAGTTTGAAAACCAGTAACCCCCTTGCCAATTCCCATAACGTCTTACTCTTATATGCATCCCTAATATCTTCGAAGCCTAAATCTAAAGCTTCCATGCTGGACTTTTCTACTAGTTCATCATCCACTTTTAATTGTTGCTTCTTTTCTAAATACGTATAAATGATTGATTTGTTCTGAACACCTACATTGTTATGCTTGAATCGATTTTGCCGATAGTTTCCTTGCTTTATGAATGTTTTCGTTAATATTTTACAGTCGGTAGTTTTAATGTTTGAGCACACTCTCCTTGATCCATATTCCAGGAAAAATGTTTTAATTATACTAATCATTATATGTTTTAAATTTAATTGTGTATGAGAACCAAAATATCTTGCAAATTGCAATCAAGTTTTATTTTTTAGGTTAACATTGTAACTGTCAAAAAATTAAAATGAAACAAAAGGTAAAAAATAAACATATACTGTGATTGCCATTTGGCAATCAATTTATTGTTACGAAGCATTTTAAATATTATTACTACACTCGCTTTGAATGGATACTTAGATACATTATGAAGGAGTCAATTCAGTTTACAACTTAATTAACAAGAGAAAACTGGGTAGACGGAAAAAGTTCGGAAACGACAAATACGACGTGATTTATGGTGGCTTACCCTTAATAACTCTCCCTGAGCGTGAGAAAATGAACAAACAATTCACGTTGCACTGTTGAGAAGTTACAAGAGTACTTAATTCAAATGTAACAACGTGCCTGACTGGCGGTTTTCAACTGTTTCTGGTCTAGCGCAAACGAAGTAAATTGTCTTAACAAAAAAATGCAATAGTTTTTATTTTGTGCAAGTAAATTCTTGTTCTCGACTTTCCTAACTATAACAAAACCTTTAAAATATTTAATAGAATCTACTTCAACTTATTGATGGATGATCATATTGAATATTTTCAACTTCCACACTTTGTCGTCACTTATAGGGCTTCTTTAAAAGATGGCGAAATAATTGTTACGAGCAATAAAAATTGTTGTCAATCAAAGTAAATGGTTTATTTTATTTTTTTTTTACTTATTAAGTATTAACACGGTTGATGATGGATTAATACGTGTATAATAATTGGAACCATCCGGAGTTTTATCAGTTAGAAT